AAAAAAAAAAAAAAAAAAAATGGAGGAAATAAATAAAAAAGAAGTGAACTAGTGAAACTAGATGAAGTTCCTGTTTGTACTTGGTTGAAAATATGCCACAGGTCTGTTTAATTAATCAAGAAGGATTACCTCTTATTAGAAAATTTTGGTCAGATTTAAAAAAACCCCCTGAGCTGATGCACACCACACTGAGTAGCAGCATAACAACATTACGTTGTTCACTGCAATATGCTCATGAGAGGATTCCACGGGAATCTGCAATTTATCAGTCAGTTTTCCTGGCATTCTCTTTGGTGTGCCTATATACCACATCTTCCCTGTAAAATCATTTAGCATAAAGCTCAATAAAATCATAAAGAACTAATATACAAAATAAAAGTCCTAGAGGACTGAAGACATTCACAGTTAGCACTGTCAGCACGCCACAACATAATAGTAGAGTCACAGCATAGACACTTATGGGATGATGGAGAAAACCCTTCCTCACACAAACCAATGCTAATGTCTAACAAGCTTCTGAGTCAAAGACAATCTGACTCAATGCTGTTATAAAAGAGCTGTGTGCAGGAAGACTAGGTGAGAAGAAGCACTACCACCCAGAATACCAAACAGTCTCCATCATGGCACACGGAGGAGAATTTTTGCAACTGCAACAGGGTAATGTGTCATAGTCAATCCTGAAAAAGTCATTTCTGCAGGAGGAACTGAAGAAATTGAAATACGATCAGGGTGGGACAATGGCTGTCTTGTTTCATGAAGACATCTAGAATACCGCCCACTCGACTCAAGTACGGAAAAGAACATGAGTCCTCTCAGTTACTGACAACTTAAATACTAGGACTGGCAACATTTCCAGAGTTTATATCCTCTCATTTTTATCACTGTTTCTGTCCTGAAGGGTCTGTTTTACCTAGAAATTGAAACAGCCTTCTATTCTTAGACATACTAAATGGCTTGCTGTACAGCATAAAATTTCCCCCCTTAGCTTATCTGTTTTCTCTCTCTCCCCCTTAGTTTCCAAGTGTCTTTTCAGCTTCATCAAATAAACTTTCTAACCTCATATTTCTAAGGCCTACCTATAGCCCCATGCTCCCTTATCCTCCTTCCACATTGGTCTGAAAACACTGTCTGGAAAAGCTCCCTTGCCTCTCTGAACCTGACCCCTTGAACCCAACTCATTGCTTTTTGATGCTCTATGACTTCTAACTTGTTGATTTTAAGAACAAATGAACCAACCCTGAATCCCTGAGTCTCCTTGCACTTGTTCATTCACTCAAAATAATGTCTAAAAACCATTTCACCTTAAGTCTTACCATACCGTACACATGCTAGCTACAGGAATCATATTCTAACCTATACTTTACATATATGTGCATGTATAGGCTTGAAGCAGCTGCGAAATACTCTATATGGCTGTGTCCACATGAGTGTGGAAATTTGTTTTCCTGGGGACAAGAAGCAGTGGCACACCTTGTCTGCTGGCACTGGACTGGCCCTAGCAGCCTTCAGTGGGATTCTGGGGGTCTCCTGGGGCTGCAGCTGTGGCGATCCTGCCGCTCAAAGCTTGTCCACTTTTTTTTGTGCAAGTTTTTTTTGACCCTTGCAGCACCAAGAACAGCTAAATGTGAGGTATTTGGACCCACAGATGTGTCTGCAGTGCCAAATACCACACAGCCACACCTGTCTGGATGCAGTGCAAATGACACTTACTTACACGTAAGTTGTGCTGCATTGGTACCGGGAGAAGCAAGAAAGAGAATGCATGAGGTGTTGTCTATAGATTTTAATAGTTTCCCTTTAAAATATGATCGGTATTTTAGCCAGAAGTAGGAAACTATGGCCTTGGACACGAAGCATCTGGGATGTTGGGGGATTCTGGTTTAAGTTAAACCAGGAAGGGGTCTGGGACAGACATTGCATAAACCAGTTTGAGCCAAATCAGTTAAATCTGATACTACATTCAACCAGGTTTATCTCAAACTGGATTCAGCCATTTTCAAACTGGTTTATGTGCACTGAACATCTGTTCTGTTACAGGTTTAAACCAGTTTCTGATCACTTAAACCAGTTTATGTGTAATGTCTGTCCCTAGCCATACTCAGTGGTAGTGCTATAAAACT